TGCTGGAGGATGGGAGGCCCCTCCTCCTGATCGTATACTCAGCCAGTCACAGAGAGGAGGCTCCTCCACTCCCGTCCCTTACATGGAGCAGAGATTTTAAAATTCATCCAAGCAGATATTCGTTCATTTATTTATCCGTATTGTACACTTCATAATCCAAAGAACGGGGGTAAGGGGTGCTCGGGGGGTGGGGGCTCAGCAGTCATCAGGCCAGGGTATAAAGAAACAAATATTATTTACTTACTAACAATGTGTAACGCCTCCAAAAGTATTCGTCTCTCCGAGTACCCCCAGTAAAACCATCGTTACGATACAGCGACACCCACCGTTAAACTTAGACCAGTATAGCAAACATAATAATTTATTCAAAACATCATTATTAGATTATCAAGTGCAACTTTATTTGCGCAATAATTCAATTCATATAGCATGAATTTTATTATCTAATTTCATATTCCTGTGTACCACAAGAGGGAGCCAAAGAGCCACCGGTGACACTAACTTCCGTGGAACGGAATAATTCAGGTTGATCACAAAATAGAATGACATCCATTGAAACGAAAGGCTGTAGAAAAGTGTTGAAAATTTCAGAGAGACTGTTCGACATTTTCTCAAAACAGATTTTATTTCAGAAAGAAATAAAAAAAAATGCTGACATTTGAAAACAAGTCTGTACCGACATATGATTAAGAAATACTAACGATGGTTGTCCTATTAAAAAAAACAACAAACATAAAATATGTAGGTGAGTGCTGAAGAAGCCTGGGAAACTAAATAACGCCAGTTAATAACTGTTAAATTTTCTACTGCAGTGATTCCCAACCACTGTGCTGCGGCACACTCGTGTGCTTTGAGAGATCAGTAGGTGTGCCGCGGACACCCAATGTAACTTAATTGGTCTGAAAAAAATATTGTTTATATCTTGCAAATAATTCTTCTTTGTTTGTCAACGCGTGGCAGGCAGAACAATTAAATACTTGTCGCTAGGTGGAAAACTAAAAAAAAGAATCAGAGTGTCTCTCTTCAATTCCTGTGAGTACATCAGCATTGTCTTCAACTCAACAGGCTGAGATTTTAGTAAACTGTGAGTGTATTTAAACTAGGATTACATTTTATTACAGATTTATTACCAAATCTACTTTTTGTCAGATTAGTGTTTGGTGGTGTTCCGTGGGGTTTTTCTAATGAAGAATATGTGCTTCGGCACAAAAACCATTGGTTCTACTCAACTGTTACTGGAGTACACACACACACACACACTAATAACTAACACCACTAAATCATATAGCTGGTTTTGAGTCTGCAGTTGTTATTTGGCACTGGCAGTAAGGTCACGATGACAGATGATGACATTAAAAACAAACACAACACAGAACATGAAAATAACTCCAGACTGATCCTACTGACCAGTCGTTCTTTGAGTGTTAGCTTCACTTATTACTCTCCACATTTAGCTAACAATACCCCTCCAGAAAAATTGGACACAATACTGCAATGTGTTTAACAGTAAAACCTTTAACTGTCTTTTGAAAATGTCCACTAAAGCAGACGGACATGAAAACCATTTAAAGTTTAAGGTGATGGCTTTATGACCAAGTGAACAACATGATAAAAGAAATGAAACTCAAAATGCGGCCGGCTTCATGTAAACATGTCAGTTATCTACTAACGCAGTGTTTCCCAAACTGTTTTTTCTGGGGACCCATATTTTAAAAGTCATAAACCTTCACGACCCAAGTCAATAAGACATTATTCGTAAACTCCTGGGAAACATGATGTGAGACGACCCAAAAAGAAATCTCTTGTGACACACCCGAGGGTCGTGAACCAGTCTTTGGGAAACAATAGTCTAATGGAGTTCTGGAAAAACACGTTAATGAACTAAACCAAATAAAAACCAACTTCTTTACAAGCGGGTGAATATTTTTACTGACTTATTAATATGTTTTAATATTAATATTTAATTATTGCAGAGAAGCACATTTTGAGTTTTGGAAGACATTTATTGTTATTTTTTTTATTTTACTGTATTCCACGGCTCAGATATTGAAGCTAGTTTTTTTTTTTTTTTACTAAAAATATTTAACAAATAGTTTTCAGAATTTATTTTTTAAAGCAGCCCTGGTGCTGCACATCTATCAACGATTAAGACATGTTCATATAACTCTTTCATAAAATAGGTTTCTTTCTTCTCTACTGAAGATATGCCACTAATGCCACCTATTTGTTCCCGAAGCTTGAATCAGAATGTTGTGAATTAGTGTTTTTGTTTGTTTGTTGTTGTGAGATAAGCAAAGGTTATTGTGCTCATAAACAGCTGATGGACAGATGTTCGAAAAAAAAAAAAAAAAAAAGGAAAAAGAAAATGTCGGTTGCCAGAGGAAGAAGGAGTGGTGATGTAGTCCTGCTCTGGTCTGCAGCGAGTTGGCAGGTAGCTGTCACACAAAGGATGACCCCTCAGTGTGTGTGCGTGTGTGTGTGTGTGTGTGTAGGCAGTGTGGTGTTTTTGTTTCTCTCCCTTTGACCCTTTCACTCGTCTGGTTTCATCTTCATCTGTGCCTGCATCTGAGCGATCATCTCCTGCATACGTCTCAACTACAGAGAGGGAGGTGGAGGGAGAGAAAGAGAGAGAGAGAACGAGAGAGAAAGAGAGAGACAGAGAGAAAGAGAGGGAGAGGCAGAGAAACAGCAGAGGTCAGTTTGTGACTGTAAAACAGAGGAAAACAGTAGTTATTTTAAGTCATTATATATTAACAGTAAATAGAGAACTTGACAAATAGTATTAATGTTTATGTCGGTTCCCCTTGAAGGGCCGGTTGTAAATGGAAGACTGTACAGCTTTAACCACTCCAAGACATATTGATTCTGCATTATATATATATAATTCTATAATTATATAATTATATATAATTATAATTATATAATTATATATATGTTTCTGCAATTGATCATTATTATGTCAAGTTACAAATATTGTCCCTTGCTGTGTAATAAAAAACATTTAATTTATCAGGTTAGGAAACTCTACTGCATGGACTCTATTAAATGCTTTTTATCCACACAAAATGACCTGGCGGGCCGCATTTGGCCCCTGGGCCTTGACTTTGACACATGCTCTAAATAAATGACTATGAATGTCATATATTTGCTGAAACTGAACTGCTGAAAAAAACAAGATGCCACAGATTTAATATCTACTGCCTCCCAGTGGCCTGGTCCAAATAGTGTCTGACAGTAATGTATAGTGATGCTTTTGTGGTTGTTCTTTGAAAAAAATAAATAAAATGATATTAATGAATTTGCATTTTCCTAATTTCTACAATAGAAAAGAAGAGTTTCCAAGAAAGTTTCCATTTGAATATGTGAGCAGAGGGACAATATAAAAAACATTAGCCTCAATTTTAAATTAAAAAAAATTAAAATTTAAAATAAATTTAAATTTAAAAAATAAATTTAAATTTTTCAAATTATTCTATGAATACAGCAAAAACCAGTATAATTTATCTCGAAACTAAAGGAAATCAAATTCTGCTCTCTGCAGATTTAGGTGTGGAGTTTCTCTTCTTCCTAAAGGTCATTCCCACCATAAAAACCAGACCAGGACATTTAGGGCAGGAAGCGATGGCATATCCTGGCAGGGTTGACTGTTTACAAACACCACTCCCCGCCCTTCACGACCCCAGCATTCAGACAAACAGGACAATCAAGAGCATTCAGGAAACTGGTTATTGCCTGGTGACGTGCAGACTACGTGAAGAAAACAATGCACGTGTGAGACAGCAGGTGGCAATAAATGAGACTTTAAAGTTCACAAAAAAAAATGATGAAAACAGCAAAGAATAGAGACAGGAAAATACTAAATACTTGTGGCAAGCATTTCAATGAATATACAGCTGGATTCAGCTGTGTGCCCCCTCCCAGCCTTGCACCCAGGGGGGCCTGCTCCCCATTTTGGGAACCACTGATGTAGATGATGGTGATCAAATTAATTCTGTCTTATAAAAAAACATTAAATTTTGTCAAATGTTTTCACTTTTTTAAAATGTTAAAATCAGGTCATGTATCTGTGCTGAAGTAAACAGAGATTTGTGTTACAGTATATCAATAATAACGACACGCAGTACACGCAGTGTAGACTGAAAGAGGATTGTGTCAATTTTTACCTCTAACTCTTTCTGCAGCAGAATCTGGTCTTTGTCCAACACCTCTTCATCCGCAGCCCTAAAGGGACAAACACAACGTTCATTCTCTGCAGTAGAACTCAGTCTTTATACTAATTATGATATAAATACTCGGCCTGACGGCGGTGTAGTATTTGTTGGTCCCACTTCATAAAGGTGTGTCTCTCACCTGCCCGCTCTCTTCAGCCTCTCTGAGCGGAAGTTCTCATAGTGCAGATCCTGAGTTACTTCCTGTAGATCTTGCATGTGGGTCCTGCAACAGAGAGGTGCAGTAATTTATACACACACTAGAAGGCAGCAGAGATCCGTTCCTACGGCAGGTGTTTTACAGTCTGTTTCCATGAGGAGAAAAGGGGGTTTTGTGAATATTTTTAAAAAGATTCCGGAGTGATTGTCAGGAGTTTTACTGTCAAACTCACACAAGCATGGTGCGTAGTTTGAGGAAGTCGTTGTGTTCGGGGTTCTCCACCTCAACAACACCCCAGGGGTAAAGACGACCACGGATCTTCTTCCCCTTCACCTCGATCAGCTGGTTGGAGCCAATCACAGCGAAGGGAATACTCGCCTACGACAGTCACGTAGACATCAGTGAAACAAGTGTCATACAGGGAAAAAAAAAAAATGGAAACATCGATAGAACCCAGAACTTATGGTGTCTCCCCACAGTCTGACCTTCAGGACCCTGGTCTGCTCCTTGAACTCCTCGTCTTCGTCAGAGTCGGCATCAGGGAGCTGATAGATTCTGATGCCCTGCTCAGCGATCTCATCCAAAATCTGAGGAGAAAACACAGGGAAGAAACACAGACTGGTAAAGCGACTGTGTCAAGAATCGACTGTTCTTAACTTGCCAAGCGAACACAGGTCCAGACTGACCATGTGTAGGTCAGAGATGATCTGGAAACATCTAGACCTGCGGTGACAAATTATCTGGCTTAAGAACTACATTTAAACTAATGAAGTCAAAATGATCTTCCTCTTTAAAATAGGTAACATATATAATAATCTAGGCCCTTTGGCCCAGAGGCATTGTCTCTGTCATTGGTGTGGAACCCCAGGGTTCACCTCCTGGGCAAGATCGAATCCCAGTCAGGGCGGTTGGTACCTTCCAGTGGACTCACCACCTGCAGGAAGATTCAGGGGGGTTTGTACAGTGCAATGTGATTTGGGTGGCGGTCATGGAGACTGCTGCCCCCGCCACCCGGTAATGGATAACCGGATGAAAATGGATGGATGGATGGATGGATGGATATAATTATTTATAGAAACTGAATATACTACATATAAGTAATACTGAGGTGTACTGTACTCCATGAACCTTTAAGAAATGGTCACATCTTGTATATATGTATGAATATATATATATATATATATATATATATATATATATATTACAGGAGTCTCCAGCACAACCGTTATATGCCCCAGTGGCCTAACGGATAGGGCATTGGCCTCCTAAGCCAGGGATTGTGGGTTCGAGTCCCACCTGGGGTGATGTTAAGTATAAACCCTGGTGTCACAGATTGTTATTTGATTTATTTTCCTAACAGGACTAGCAGAATACTTCTGTGTGTTCAAAGTACGAGTTACAAGAGTTCAACTGGTTAATACATTTCTTGGTCCTACAGAAAGAAAGTGAATTATTCGTCATTGTCACACTGCACACACTGCAGTGTTAGCAGGGGTTAAGTCAGAAACCTGGCATCACTGGTGAAATGTTTGTATTTGTTAATCACTATAAACCCTCACATCAACAGAATTACAGAAAGTAGCCCTATCCTAAAAAAACTAATGGCAGGGTGCGAGGGAATGTTGCGGCAACACATTTCATTAAAACACCCCCATTGAACAGCAGGGGGGGTGGGGTGAAAAGAGTAGACAGGTGAAAAATAATGATGTGTGTGTTCTTAAGGGAGTCCAAAACAGAGATCTCTCCCCTCCTGACTCACGTAGCGACCGGTGAAGAAACAAGTTAAAACAAAGACACCCCCCACACCCATCACCTCCCCTACCATCCTCTCACATCAACAGATGTCCGTATTTGTTATTCTACACATCAAAGCTGCATTTTTCTTTTGTTTGACCTACGAGTGGACTTTTTTAAAACCACAATGTGAACTTATGTAATACAGCCAAAAAAATGTCCGGTGTTGTTTCCCTGACTTTTGGGTCTCTTTCATGTACTGCAGGCTATGAAAGGACAGTGTTGAGTCAGCCAGGAGCCTAGGAAGTGAGCGCAGGTTTTCCTACAGGGAGCAGCTCCTGTTATGGCTCCGGCTTGTTTTCTCAGTGAGTTCTGTGTGAAGTGTGTGTGTGAGATAGTGTGTGTGGGGGGGGACTTAGGTATTGTTGTGGCATGCATCTAAAAACAAACAGTCCGTGCGGGATCCAGAGGAGATTGTGACACGGGAGCACACGGTCTTTGTCGTTCCGAACACAGGCAGCATTTACAGAAAGTTCTAACGTGGTCACTGGATAAACATCGGCCCGGATGAGGCCGAGCTCAGACATCTGTGGGATGCTGACAATATGTAATGACACAAACTGAATAAAGAGGTCAGATAATGAAGTTGTGTCACATCTGTGTGGGTGATGGTGCACACAGTGAGGACACAGAGCTAGAAAATGACCCTTTAATTAATTTATTTTTAAATCCAAACAGAAACAAATCTGTTTGGATTTGTCTTCAAACTGCCACAAACTACCACTGTATCACACTGAAGAACATGGCAATAAACTAAGGATAAAAAAAACAAGGAGACTTGTTGAGGTGTAAACACCTCATCTATTCACTGTGTTGTTAAACCTCAAAAGAAAAAAGAAAACGGAAAGAGTTTTCTTATAAAGGTAGCATGGGTATTCACGCTCAAATGCCTAGAAAACATATATTACACACATCCTGCATTTATTTAATATTTAAAATGTCAGCTTTTGATTTTGAAATTTACATTCAGTTTCATGCACCCCCTAGTGTCAGCTTGCACACATTACATCTTGGGGGCCCCCTGCTCTATCTTAATACTCAGGATCGGTATCGATCCGAAACTCATCAAAATTTTAGGCTCAAATATTTAAAAAACAACTCTAGCCCGTTGTTTCCCAAAGACTGGGTCGTGCCCCTTAGGTAGGTCGCAAGTGATTTTTTTTAGGGTCGTCTCGAATTATGTTTCCCAGGAGTTTATAAATAATGTCTATTGACTTCGGTCGTGAAGGTTTGTGACTTTTAAAATTTTTCCAGAAAAAAAGTTTGGGAAACACTGCTCTAGTCCGCTCAACTTAACTTTGTGCATCAGGCTGTAAACAAGGACAGTATCGCCTCAGCAACGACATGCCTGAGGAGGAAAGAAGGTAACACATTGATATTGGTAATGACATATACTTCAAGTTGCAGTATTGGTATCGGACATGCAAATGTTCCATCAAGACTGCCTTGATTGTAACAGAACAAATCTTTGTCCCCTGATGTTAAATTTCCTCCAAACTGTTGACATTGTTGACCTACTTCAGATAATCTACCTATGAGGACAGGGAGACACTGACGTGTGGTATGAAAAGAAACAACTCTGGCTGACTGGCCCACAGCTGGTTGTGGTGAAAGGCTGTTAATAAGGAGTATCTAGTCTCCATATCAGCATGTGAAGTATCAGGCCTGGTGCCAATACTCAGATTGTCATTGCTACACCTCTATAAAGTACTAATATCTGGTCATGGCACAAATGTGTGTCTGTGCGCCATCATCTGTTTCCAGACCGTAGTTAAGCCCACAGCTACAAAATGGCTGTTTACCTGAAATATTCTGCTCCACAACATGTGCTTAGCACAACCTAACACCTATAATCAAAACCTCTCCAGGATCATGGGAAGTCAAACTCACTGGCTGCTTCTAATCCCTGTTGTCTCCATCTGATTTACTGTACACACTATCAGCCTGGTTACACCAGCCTCCTCCTCCTCCCCCTTCACCTCCTCCTCTTCCCTCACCTCCTTCTCCTGTTTGTGTATTTTAGTTGGCACTGAGAGGTTGGCAGCGGGAACCATTTTGACTTTATGATTATCCTGTTGGGCTATTATACCCTCAGATCCTTCCATGTGTTGTTAGGGTTGGCCATGCAGGGACCAGTCAGTGCTGTGAGGGTGAGGGAGAAGGAATGGCACCCAAGACTCTGCCTCAGTATTAATTAATAAAAAAAAAAGAAAAGAATGCAATGATTTATCGCCTTAGGTTTCTGGCAGACATTTTTTATAAATGAAACTTATAGTATGAGAGAAGTATGGAACTGTTCCAGTATGTTGGACATTTATTGTGTTTGTGTGTGTGTGTGATGGTGTGTCTGTGTGTGTGTGTGTGTGAGATAACACTGGTCATAAAGTCTGAGTTATTCCAGTCCGGTAACAGAATTAACTTGGAACTGCAGGTGGATCATACCAAGGCACTCATTCCAGCGTAAAGTCCAGCTCCTTCACTTCTAGGAATAGAAGTGATAAATATAGTGTAGCGGTCAGGCATTGTGCAAATATAGCATACCTGTGGGTCAACACACAGATACAACAATACTGTACATGATGAGGTCAACTGGACAAGACCCAGTAGTTTTTTTTCTTCTGCAGAAGCACAGCAGCTCAAACCAAAACCTCAAATGATAACGTGGCGGCGAGGAAACCGTTCATTATGTGGATCAACAGTTTCTTCACATCCACCTGAGGAGAACAATATTATCGCACATTTGTTCCTTCTCACAAACAAGTCTGAGACAAATCAAGCTGACATAAACACACTCTAAAGAGCCGGAGGATTAATTCTCGACAAACAACAGAGTAAAGACTCAAAAAGACTTGAGCTGGGTGAACCACTGCAGTGTTGTCAAGTTTCTGTCGTGCGATATTTGAGGACAGAGTTGACCAAAACCTAAACAGCAGAGGGGAACAATACTTGGAAGTAGAAACGTGTACTAGTGCAGTCAAAGGAAATCGGCAGTGCTGAGAGTGAAAAAAAAAAAACAAAAAAAAAAAAAACAAAAAAAAAAACGTGCAACACAACAATCAGTTGTGCTTCTTGCCACTAATTAGTCCTGATTAAGAAAAACCCAGATCAGAGGACACAGATGGAGCGGGGCAACCGCACTCTGACATCACTTAACCTTAAAACTGCCCGGCAGCCTCTGAAGAGTGGCCAGGAAAATTCATTCATCTGTCCATCAGCTTTAATCATTAGGTGTTAAAAAAACAAAACTGTACTGTACTATCATCATAGTACACAAAGAATACACTACAGGGAAAGGTGGCTACAATGGATACTGATATGACCAAAGAAATTAGTGATAGGAGAATACAATATGCATATATCACACAAATATATATATATATATATATATATATACTTACATATATATAATGGAGCTTTTATACACACTGACTTTGAGATTTTGCTGAGTTTATCAAGAGGAAGAAAGAATAGTCCAAAAACCAGGTCAATACTGGACCCAATATTTGACTTAGTCCAACACAGGTTTATATCAGTCAATGCCAACGTCAATGTTTTTGACTCCCTTATGTCTTAAATGAAGAATTTCTACCTTTGTGTCCTTTGACATTCTGTTAATGATCTTCTACTGGAAAACAAGCAGTGTACTGAGTACTGCAGGTTCATGAACAGAAACTGTTAAAATTGATGACATCAGAAATTGGACACAGCAGTACATATGTACATCTGCTGATGTTTGGTCTGCCATTCCATTGCTTTCTTTTTAAAAAAGAAAATGTAGTTTGGAATTTATAGT